CTACCTGAATCTTTCTCCGGTATATCTTCAGTTCGAGGCGGAGCCTCATAGAGCATCATCGATCCAGTCGGCGACGGGGCATCGGTGGCTCTCTTCGTTCGGACCGCCAGCGCGGATTCATTGTCTTCTTCTTCTTCTTCTTCTTCATCTTCATACCTTAGACGCAAAACGGATTCCACGGTCAAAGGAATGACATTCTTGTTCGGCTTACGAGCCGTCCTTTTCTTCGGTTTTGGATATTTGGGAACCGAGGCTCTCTTCCTTTTATTTTCCTTCACCGGCTTTGGGACAGAGGTCGAAACATCCTCCTCATTGGACAGATGCCTCAAGACCGTGTCTTTACCCAAAACTGCATATGGGAAACCTTATAAAAAATATTTTGAGAAACGCCTCGTCCGGATCATCAGAGTCCGAGAAATGAGCTTACCGTGATTTTTGGCCTCCCACCGACCCTTTGACAAATCACGCCATGAGCGCTCGGCGTATGTGGAGGTCGAAACAAGAGCCCGTATCCAGCTCTTGAGATCGGGAACCGCTCCGGGCATCTAGGGAACTGCTACATCACAAAAGGAGGAGTGTCGATAAGAGAATAAATGGAAGAACAAAATAGAAGCAACAGCAAGATCACACTTACGTTTCATATTCCACTCCTCGGGAACGAGCATCTTTTCAGTCGGGATCAGGTCCGAAGTCCTTACTCGAACGAACCTGCCCATCCAACCCCGGTCCCTGTCCTCGTCAATACTCGAGAACAGAGCCTTGGTAGCCCGACGCTGGAGTTTTATTAACCCTCCTCGAAAAAGTCGGGGAGGGTACAACCGGATAAGATGATCGAGGGTGAACGACATCCCCTCGATTTTGCTCACAAAATATCGGATCAGGATAACGATCCGCCACAAAGAAGGATGGACCTGGCCTAGGGTTACCTGATATTGTCGACAGAAGTCAATAATGACGGAATCGAGGGGACCCAAAGTGAAAGGGTAAGTCTATACGTTCAAAAACCCTTTCACGTAAGAAGTGATATCTACGTCAGGGGTAGGTATTATTACTTCTTTTTCACCCAATTGCAATCCTTCTTTAACAGATCGAGGTGCTTCTCGGTTATCGAACACATGTACCTCGATACCGGCTCACACCGGCCAGGGACCGATGAACCTTTATCAACCTTAAAATCTGAAGTAAGGACGCATACCCCGGGAACACACTCCTCAGGTCATGGTTCTACCGGTGCCTCATCGGCGACACACTGTGAAGATGAAGCCTTCTCTTTCTAAGGAATGGTTTGAGATGTTTTCGCCATTTTTGAATTCAAAAGTAAGGAATAGAAGAAAGTGACAGAGATTTGGTAAAATTGAAGAGGGGTTTTTTCGGAAAGAAATCACAGCTTTACTGGTAAGTTGGAGAGTACGAAGAAGAACTTGGAAAATTTTGGAAGATAGAAGATGTAAAAATGGTAAAAGATAAAAGTAAGGGTTATTTATAGGTTCAAACGATGGCGGTTCAGTATCAGCAGTGGCCGACCACCGCCTGACATGCATTAAATGCCTTGAAAGACTAAACCGACGGGACAGCTACCAGATGCGTCATGATTGAACCCGATGGAAATNCATTGTAATAAAAGTATTATATTCTTCTACAGTAAAGAATCGCTCTTCCAGTTTCTTAGATTGATTCTATTTGTCGAATCCTAAGGTTCACTGTTCTTGATAACCTTATCTAGATTGCATTCTCTCCAATCTACATTTATATTTTATTTATCCTTGCATTTTGTATCAAGTTACGCCACATATCCTCGGAACTGCGTATAAATTCAACTCTATCTATTTTTCGGGTAAACACACATGTATTCCAGCTGTCTAAGAGAGAGGAAAAACATAAATAGCGTATTTCATGCCTTATTTCGTGCCTTAATGATAGTATATACCATAAAATACTTATTTTGCTATAAAATATAAAAAGTAGCTATAGAAAATAATATTTGAAAATGATTTTGGTTTATGATAAATAAGGTGTATACCTTTACTATAGTAGGTAAAATTTCCTTATTTTTCACAGTTGAATTACTCAATTTAAGCAAAAATATGCTTACTGACACAAAACTTCGGGCTTGTTTCATTTTTTTTAAACAACCATCAAACAGTCAATCCAAATACGACATGTTTAAAATGTGTCGAAAACAGCACGCTAGGGTGTGGCCTAGGGGTTGAAGTGGGTTAAAACTACGGAAATCAAAAGTTCAAATTCCGGAAAAGGCGAAAAGTTTTGATGATTTTTTTTCCATCTGCTTACATGTGCTTGTGGGCGAGAGCGGGTAATAGTCCTAACATTTTGAATGAGTAATGGTAAGTAGCTCCCGGTGAATCAAGACATACCCAGGGACGGATGGAGTGCCGGGTTCAACTGAACTCAATATTTTCGACGTGGAGCATACATTTAGGTGTAAAAATCCATCAAAACTACAAAAACTAATAAATATGAATCAATAACTTTAAAAATACAATGGGTTCAATGCTAAGAATATTAGAGATCGAACCCATAGAGTTCAAATCTTAAATCCGCCTTTGGACATACCGGTTAGCTCTTTAGCTTGACATCAGCCCTTTCAAGACTTGATCAGATCACCTTCTATAAGGCTTGAGGTGATAATTTTCGAATTCTGAACCAAAAGTTATTGTTTCCTCATCAAGCCTTTTCTTTAAACTTCTCCAGGTTCTCAACATATTGGATTGTATTAAGCCTCTATAAAGTGTCTCAAAGGTCACCTTGTGCGGCAGAAATCCTTTTTCTATCATTTCCATAAAGAATTCGCAGGCCGTTTTCCATTTTTGTTTCTCGCAAAATCCATGAACCAACAATGTATATGAATCCAAATCAGGCCCTGCTCCAGACGCCTTCATATCTTCCCAAATATCTCTGGCCAGCCCTATTCGGCCCAATTTCAATAACATCCCTAACAATATATTATACGTACTAACGTTAGGTGGGCAGAGGGAACCCTGCTTCATTTTCTCATATAACCTCAATGCACCATCGACATCCTTCCTCCCTTTGTACTCTTTAAAGAAGCAATTGTAAGTTGCGGATGTGGGAGTCACTCCATTAGAAACCATTTGCTCGAGTAAAAGCTCAGCATCTTCAATCCTACCACAAGAGCAGAGGCACTTGATGACTGAGCTATATGTCACAATATTCGGGCATATCCCTTTGCGTCTCATAATCCTTAATTTATCAAGTAATAACTCCGGCTTATGAGCCCGGCTATAGACATGAAGGAGTACAGAATAGCTGGTCACATCCGGTTCCACACCTCGTTCAGTCATTTCATCAAACACCTTCTCTGCTTCCCTAATTACCTGCTCAAATCTTCCCTCAGGATGCAAACTCGCTCTCCTGCAAATCCCATTCAACAACACATTGTAACTCACCACGTTCGGATGAATTCCCTTCTCCAACATCTCTTCTAGAAACCTCCTAGCCATATCTATATTCTTCACCTTACACCAACCATATATGAGAATGGTATAAATCTTACAATTGAGCTCCAATCTCCACTTCTCCTTATTGAACACTTGAGTAGCCACTTTAACATATCCATATTTACAAAGAGTATCAAGAAGATAACAAAAATACGACTTCCACACTTGCTCTTCACTTTCTTCATCTATAAATATATGGATTTCACTGAATGCCCGAATGGCTTGACGGGTCAAACCAGCAGAAATAAGCCTACGGATCAACAAATAGAAAGTAGTGAAGTTGGGTTTAATGCATTTCTGTTCCATTAGGATAATAATCTGCCACGCAACATCGAACTGGTGGACTTTGCATAGAATGTCGATGAGGAGATTCAAAGTGTTGGAGTCGAGGGAGTAACTGGGATGTGACTGGGAATACTGGAAAAAGGAGAGGGCAATTTTGGAAGAGTTTTTTAGGCGGAGGAGGGTTTGATGGACAAGGAAAGGGGTGAGAGAAATTCCGTGGAGCTGAAGAGAAGATTCCATGGCGTGAAATGGATTGTGGTGTTGGACGAGCACTTGGGAAATCAAGTCGGCGTCGTTTGAGGGTTCCAATTGCGGCAGTGACGGCGGCCGTTGATTCACTTCTGAACAACACAAGAAGCGGAGGAAATGGAGACAAGCGAATAGGGTTTTGGTTTTGGTTTTGGAGAAGAAGAGAGAACGGGCTTGTTTCATTTTGATCGCTGTAAAATTAACTGACGGATAGTGTGAGGTTCGAAACTCAGTGGCTAATGAGTCTCTCCTCTATCCCTTTTTACTTAAATACAATATTAGATTTATGTCTTTGTCACGTATCGAACCCATAACTTATGTTTAACCTGTACATCACGCGTTGTAATTTTACCACAGGATCAAAGCCGTTGGCCTCTATTATGAAACTAAATTTGAGCTTAATTACCTTATATTCAGATTTCGGGGAGGATTTATAGCCCCAATCATGGGTACGTGAAGTCTCACCGTCAACCTAAGTTTTTTATATACGTATTTTTTAGAAAAAAGTCTAATATAATTTGTTGACATCCATGCTCCAAAAAGATTGAATGGTGCACTTGGTTGAATATTGAGTTGTTTATCCTGAGGGAGAGGGATCGATTTCCACTTAATATTTTTTTTTCCTATTCTTTTTAATGGTGCATCCATATTCAAGAAATCCTAGATTCGGCTGCTCATTTGTCAATAGAAATTGGGATAAAGCTTAGGGGTATGACATACTTTCTCTAGCCTACTTTATTTCTCTTTTTTTTTGTGGCTATTTTTACACATAATAAGGAATCCAACTTCTAGCATTAATTAACAATGAAATTGACCATATTAATCCTTACTATCTATTTAATTTGTTCACTGAAATATAACATATGCTTCAAGACTCTTTACTCCAAGGGTAACTTTGAAAAAAAAGAAATTAACTCTTCTTGATAACTGAAAAAATCAAATATTGTGATCACAAAAAAATCAAAATGACAGTGGATGACTGAGGAAGTATACTAATTTTTTATTAGAAAACCAAGTTCATATCAGTTTTATTTCCACCTGTTTTCTATCATATTCTTTCCCAAGGAGAAAATTTACTGATTGCAGCAAATTATAGCAGTTCTCTGCCATATCTCCAAGAAACAAAGATTTATATCTTTAATGTTCTCCATAAATGCATTAATTGGAGGATCTAAAGGGCAAACTGGCTCTTATTGTTGTCATTATGAAAAAAAAGATTTCTATATATGTTCTCCATAATGCATAGTTATACCAATGATGAGGTTGCCTTAATTTGTTGCATAGAAATGTGTGACAAGTTTTGATGTGCATTAAATGCCAAATTACCCAACTTTTTATCTAAGCTCATTATTAATAAGTAGGGGCATATCTCCCTCTCACTTTCTCCATTGCCATTATCTTTGGTTAAGTGTAGATAGGGGCGGAGCTACAATGTTAGTTACGAGTTCGATACTTTAATGAGGTCACCACAAGGCCTAGAGGATGAAAATGGAAGCAATAGCAGCATGCAAAGAGCTGAGACAATGCTGCGACTGCTGCCCATGGCACTATGTGTAGTGGCTCTTGTAATCATGCTCAAGAACTCCCAAACCAATGACTTTGGTTCCCTTTCTTACTCTGATCTAGGAATCTTCAGGTAACTATTTCCCTATAATTTTAAGTTTTATGCGGGGCAACCTGGTGTACTAAACTCCCACTATGCGTAGGGCGCGGGAAAGGACTGGACTACAATGGTCTATTGTACGCAGTCTTACCCTGCATTTTTACAAGAGGTTGTTTCCACGGCTCGAACCCGTGATCTCCTGGTCATATGTCAGCAACTTTACCAGTTACGCCAAGGCTCCCTTTCATGATAAGCAATATCGTAGTCACCTTAGTTTTACTAGAAAATTACGTTGTGTAGCTAGATCAAAAATTTTTTATGTATATATGTTATATGTGGAATCCAATTAGCTTATTCGTGTGTTTATTTCTTTATATTTTAACACCCCTCAGTAAATTCTTGACTGCGCCACTAATGATAGCATGATTAGACCGGCGAACTTGGTAAATTAGTAAATAAACTATAAAAGGTTAAACTACAACGATCATGTAAATAAATTTTTATACTGCAAGTGTATACACACGCACATTATCTATTCCTCATCTGTATATGTAAAATCATCTTACTTCTGAATTTTCATATACTTTCTTGAGATGGCTATTAGCCTTTTTTCATGTTCTATATATCCCAATGGAAATTCTTTCTTGTTATAAAAAAGTCTGAAATTTGGCTAAAATTGAACCAATAGTTGGTTTCCAACTTGTATAATGTTATCAGAGGAGGAGCCATGATTTGAACTTTATGGGTTCTAAATTCTATGATATCTGGGTTCGGAATTTTATTTTTGTATATATTTAGTGAAATTCTTAATAGAAATATAGAGTTTGGACAAAAGTTACTGAGTTCGACTAAACCTGTACTTCAGCCTCTAGCTCCACCCCTGAAGCTATGTGGGTGAAATCTTTGAATCTGCTGCAGGTACCTTGTACATGCAAATGGAATTGGTGCAGCTTATTCCCTTCTATCAGCTATAGTAGTAGCCGTTCCTCGTCCTACAACTATGCCTAAAGCCTGGACATTCTTCCTCCTTGAACAGGTTCTTTTCCCATTTATAAGTACAACAAACGTCGATCTTATTTAAGTTTTAAAAAGCGTTCCTATACTGACAGTGTAAAACAATTTTACTTGTAGATCTTGACATACGTAATATTGGCTGCTGGAGCTGCATCGACTGAGGTGGTTTATTTGGCGTATAAAGGCGATACGGCTGTTACATGGAGTGAAACATGCGGTTCATTCGGAGGTTTCTGCAGAAAGGCAACAGAATCTGTGGCCATTACATTTATTGTAGGCCTTTGTTATGTAGGGATTTCTCGGATTTCATCTTACAGACTTTTCAGCAAATATGATGCATCAATTGGGGACTATAAGAACAAGGGAGGAATTGAAATAGCTACTTATTGAGATGAATATTGGATGGATCCATTGTATGGGTAGCTAACTGAGCACTTTCTAATTTTTGGTTGCACTGCCCTATCTATACTGCAGAATGTAATAAACATTGACCTAAACGTGTTGCTTCAATTCAATATCATTTGTCATCCTCTCTATTTGCTGACTTATTAAACCTTGTCTCGTTCACGCAGAGATCAGAGAAGGGCCGCACCCCAAGAGGTGTGATGTCATTACTCGAACCCGTAACCCATAGGTCACACGAAAACAGTTTTACCGCTACTGCATCACTGCATATGGGTGCTCCCCAAAAGCTAGCTGTTACCAAGCGGTAAACTATATTAACTCGGCACATTTCAAATCAGATTCTATAACCTATGGACCTTAAACCTACCTATTTACAACCAAGTTTTATCTTAGCAAATAATGTATATCACGTTATGTCTCAATTTCAAGTAAACAAGCATCAGTTATATGTATTCTCACATAATCTAATATTACATAAAATAAAAAGGCACTAGAAATTCTCTATAATATCTAATTCACGAGAGGATTTATTTATGGGAAGAAGGAAAAAAGGGAAGACAAGAGAAAGGGAGAGATGAAACAGATCTTTACTGAAACTTCTGCTATGTATGTATGTACCTTTAGTGAAGTAGTCAGTTAGCTTAGGCAGCATCAAGATTGAGTAGGGCTATGAGCAAAGTTGCAACTGCAGTTCCATACTAATTTTGGACTAAAGAAAAGTAGTAGTACAAAGCATATACTAAACCTTACTTGAGAGCAAACTAACCAATATGCAAATAAAATGAAAATTCACATTCACAAGGAAACACAAAGTTACGAAGGTTTTAATATACCAAATGTTGCACAAGATCTTGTTTTAAATTTGAGCTTTCCACATGACACAACAGTGAGTTTACATTGAACTTGCCAATGCGCCCACAAAGAAAGCCCACGCTGAAAGGTAACAACACAAAATGACCACACGAGAAAAGCACCGTAGCTAATAGCTATTACATGCTAAATTTGTACTTCCATAGGAAAAGGGCTCGCTGCCTTTCTTAATCAATTGCGTATTGACGCTGAATTGGTTTCAAGCATCACCGAGCTTCATACTGCACAACTGCACCAAAACACTATAGCCTTAGTACAGACGAGACAGTATTTACATCCTGATTTATTGTAACACTGTTAATAAGACCTGGAAACCTTGTACTGAATAATGGTTCATTTAACTTTAGAATCTCCAGATTTACAAACAAGAAAAGCATGTATAAGCACATCAATTAAACAATCTTAGGACTAGAACTCCCAAATTTATCTTTCTGATCTTCCGGGCTATCACAGTTGCTATCAACCAAAAAATGAAATTGCAAATCACAATCCAGTGGAGGACTTGGAGCACATCAGTGGATGCGGGATCACCTGCTACCTTTAGGAAGAGTTGAACGATTTTAAATTACACATGTTTACACTTAATACTAAATCCAAATCTATTGCCTCGAAAGAGCAGTAGGTGGGGGTTCGACTCTGCAACAACCTTTATTAGTTTAACATTTGGACAGAGACTCCACCATTTGCTGACAACACGTGGAACATTAACAATGGTCAATGCCAGCTTAACACATGTATATACAGTTTAAAGAACCAAGTCATGTCTTATACTAGATATCAACTGGAAATTCACCTAAAATGCTCAAAAAGAAAAAAGGCTAATTCACCAAGAACATGCTACAGTTATCTGCAAACATATTCAGTTTTACCCAATACAATTTTGTTGCTATTTAACTTTATTTCCTGTCAGTCGACTGCCAACCACAACTAGCCAACCAATGAATCATGAGAATAAGTCTATAACACTAAAAGACACTTGTGAGGCAAGGAACTTAAAATACTATTTAATTGTTGACAAGTTCCACAGTTGTCTTTACCATTTAGCAAGCATTACTCAATAAACACAATAAAAATAATCATAAAACCAAAATAATGATCACCACATAATTTTAAAACTGTTAACCTTCTTCTGAGAGTTCTCTTTCACAACAATTCAACATTAAAATGAAATTTGTACAACTCAATAGAGGCACATCATTCCCATTCCCCGCCAGCCCATTAATTGAAAAATGAATAGCACCTGAAATTACTTAAATAAAAATTACAGCACTTTCTACAAATTCCATATTTATCTAAGATCACCAATTTATCCAACACCCCTTTGAGCCTCAATTCTATAGCCTAACAATGTTAGAACGAACGGATCCACAAGCCTTAAGCTGCTAATATATTCCTAAGAAAAATTACCTACTGGAATTGAATCACTACAATATCAAAAGGGGTTGTCCCTACAAGGTTCCCAAAACCTATAATCCTCACAAATAGGCATGAATTTAGATTAGTCAATTCCTTCCAAAGAAAGTGAAACATCTATGCCAACTCAAGTCTTAAGCATAGAATCCCTAAATTCAGTATTATAACAACATGAAGTAAGAGGCAGGTCCAAATCCCAACAGAGGCAAACAACACTAGGCGATTTCTTCCAATCTGCCCAAGTGTTGGTGGGCAGAGTTATTAACTCTAATACCTGTGTTGGTGGGAGGTAGAGGCATTCAATAGAATTAATTGAGGTGCACGCAAACTAGCACGAACACCGACGTCATTAAGGAAAACAACTACTAGTATGCCTCAATCCTAAACAAGTTAAGGTTGGTGTGTGTGAGCTTGCTCAGATCGCCGGTCTCAAGCTCGGATAAAGGATGGTTGTAGTAGGTTGGTAGCTAGCGTAAAACTTGACACTTTCATGATGAATCCTAAAATCAATGATTTCAAGCTAAGGCGAACGAATCCCTAAATATAGTGACTACTAATTAACACAAAAAATTTAAAAAGTAGATCAGATTGCCAGTCTCAAGCTCGGATAAAGGATGGTTGTAGTAGGGTGGTAGCTAGCGTAAAACTTGGCACCTTCATGATGAATCCTAAAATCAATGATCTCAATCTAAGGCGAACGAATCCCTAAATCGAGTGATTACTAATTAACACAAAATTTAAAAACTAGATTAAAGGGTAAAAAAACGTTAGAGAGAGAGAGAGAGAGAGAGAGAGAATTAAATACTTCTGCGGGTTCGTTTCTTGTAGAGAATACGATAACCACATTCACGGCACTGTATCACATCACCGGGCTTTAGGGTATTCTCCTGTCCACAATCTGCAAAATCCAATAATAAAGCTCGTTAAACCAAAACCAAACACGGCAAATATGAAAAATTAGGCAATGAATAGGTGAGGTTACCTCCGCAGATGTAGCTGACTGGCTCAACAGGTTGAGAATCCATTAATAATATTAACAACTATTAGCAGAGAAAGAGATGAAGACCAAACAGAGCGAGAGGGCTTTTAGGAGGGTTTGTAGGGTATATATAGAGCGATTGTACGCGGGCTTGGACCGGGTCATTATCCGTCCACTTTATTAACGGTCTGGGCCGAGTTGGTGAATATGGGTAAAATTAAAAAATAGCCAGATTTGGTAATTGAAAATTTTGTCACAGTTTCAAAAGTAATCGACATTTAGCCACTTTTCATGTAATGATAAGTCTAAACGAAAAGTTTCAGTATAATATACTGGTCCAGCATAATATGTTGGAAGTTCATACACAGGTGCTCCAATCTTCAGTATATTATGCTAGAACTTTCCGTGTGTTGGAGTTCCAGCATAATATGCTGGAAGTTCATACACAAGTGCACCAATCTCCAGTATATTATGCTGAAACTTTCCGTGTGTTGGAATTCCAACATAATGCTGGAGATTGGTGCACTTGTGTATGAACTTCCATTATGCTGGAAGTTCATACACAAGTGCACCAATCTCCAGTATATTATGCTGGAACTTTCCGTGTTGTAGCAAAATAGTGGCTATTTTTCAATGACTTTGCAAACGCTGACTATTTTTCAATTATCAATCCAAAAACTGGCTAGCTCGTGCTATTTTCACATGAATATGTGAAGAAGAGATGGGTCCAGCCCAGCTCATGACCTCTAACTACTTTACTGGGTCGGATTCTGATCGAACCGTGTTGGGCCTTTTTTTTTTTTCCTTTCCTAGATTGCGAAGTGTAGCAATAGCCACTTTTAATCCTGTTATTTAAAATATATTCACAATTTACAATGTATTTAAAGATTAACCAATTCACCCAAACTTCAGGACTAAGTATCCTGAATTTTTGAGCTGCTAATTTGAAATTCAGAACAAAGTGTCCTGAATTTCCGAATTACTAATTTAAAATTCAGTACATAAGATTCGAACTTCTAGACACAGTTTTCGAACTTTAGAATACGATGTTTTGAAGTTTAATCTTTGAGATTTAAACTCTATGACGACATTAGCTACCTGATTACTGATATTTTGGCTCAAATAAGTTATTAATCTCTATTTGATTACCAACGTAGGGAATAAAGCACTTGTGGCTATTACTGAAGGTTGCTCTCAGCATCATTTGAATGTAATTAGTGGCTGCCACCAAATTGGGGATGCTGAAATAATAGCCATAGCAAAACTGTACGTGTAAGAATATAAACCCCTTACCCCACCAAAGTAAGAAATTAAGAAATGTGTTATATTTTGACAGAACTTCTGATGAAATATTTTTATTGTAACAAGGATCATATTACAAGGCTGCACGTGTATCACGCCCTTACCGCCCAACAACACTACACTTTCGAAGTATAAAGAAGCAATTTGAGTGATAATCAGCGTCTTTTCGCTGCTGAAATTCCGTCTTCACTTCACCTCGATCGCAATATGGGGTCAAATCTTGTTTTGACGGACAAGCGCAGGAATAAGAAAATATTAGTGGAGTACCAATAGTTGTTTATACAGTTAACATTGTTGTAGTTTTTGGTTCATACATAGTTTCTGTTATGTAATATTATATGTTTGCACTTTGGTTAAGATATCTGAATAAACTGGGACCATAACTTTTTTCCTTCTTAATAACTTGATCTGAATAATCTAGGAGCAGAACGTTTTTCCTTGTTAATTACATTATAACCTTTTTGTTAGGGATATAGTAGATATGCCCTAAATCCAATCTTATGATTGATGATTTGAACATATTTTTGTGAACGTTATTTCATATAGAAATATATGGCATCTGATATTCTTTTATCATAGTTATTATTAATTTTTTGAATAACTTGACAAGATCCTTGATTAAATTTTGAGACTTGACATTATGATGGAGATCATGATAATGAGAGTGAAGTTTCTTATAATTTAATCTAAATTTGTTCTTGATCGTAAGATTATTAATTTGGATATTAATAATCACGTTAGGTCAATATTTATGTGATCGTCTTTATGGGATAAAGATTAGTTGATCTCATTAACTAAATCACATAGATAAATGATGCATAAAGAGATATGATCATTGAACCGACTCATTAGATAATTCCTAATTGTTAGAATTATCATAAACTGTCAATAGGATATTCTATTGAGGAATGTGATGTATGAGTTTCCTTTGACCTGAGATCGTCATAGTAATTGACAAGTTATTTATTATGTTTTGATACTAGACACCTATGGCCCTAGGTCGATAGTTGAAAGGATATTGGGTATGATTAAATACTTGTAGAATTAGTGATTGATCAAGATGGAATCTGTCGATTCTTGATAATGAGTTTAAGCTACATGTTGTCATGAATTATAAACGATCAAAGTAAGACCTTGGCAAGGGCAATTGAATGAAAGAAGAAAAGAGTTTCTTAGGTCATTTAATAGTCGATTATATTTGACATGAACACATAGTTGGTTGCCTATTAGGATTTGACAGTTGAACCATATCATAGCGTGACCCAGAGTTATAAGAACAGAAGGAAATACTACATTATTCTTCTACAGGTTCTTGAGAGTAAATTATATACTTCATGATATCCGGTCGTTAAGGAGTGTTGCTAGATACCACCCTTGATTAGTGTATTGATATGATCAATTTACTATCGGCTTAGTATTGAACCCATGGGGTCGCACACTAACGAGTGTTCTGATCTTTGCTAAAAGATTAATTATTTTATTGTTTGATAATTAAATTAAAGAATTTGATTAGTCAAATAAATTAAATTATTAGTCTAAATAAAATATTATTATGTTCTTTGCTAGCACAAAGGGTATAATTAATATTGTGAACAAACTAAAGTTTTCTATTTGAAATAGAAAATTAAATTATATCTTGGTTGAAATATATATGTGATATATATACATATAATTAATATTTATTTATATAAGGTATGCATATAATATATTATTAAAAACTTATTTGGAAATCCAATTTAGAATTGGACGGACAACAAAGTCCAAAAATGGACGTAAGATTAGTTCAAACCCATTAAGAATGGGATTGATATTTTTTAATATAAAATATTAGTTAATTCTCATAATCCAATCCAATTTGGAATTGAATTGGACGTCCATAAAGGACAAGCTTACGACGGCGCACGTATCCCATCGGAATGGTATATACGTTTCTCCAATGGAAAATTTCATAAGTTTATTTTGTTATAAACTTTTACCTAGAGTAAATCATTAGCTCAATCAAATAGGAAAATAATTTATAGGTGATGCTATATAAAGGGTGATGAAGAAAATTTGCCACATTAAGTCTTGAGAAGAAATACAATACATAGAATTACAAAAAAAGTGTTTCTTGATCTTTTACCATTGAGTTGAGATATTTTAAATTTCAGCACTAGTTTTTATTCTATTTGTTCGCGTGTTTCATTGATCAAAAGTTGATAGTAAGGATCGGTCTCGGTATAGAGCATAAAGTCTTCTCACTATTGATTATCGAAGAATTTTTGAAACGGGACTCTCTTCACCAGGTACGTCTCAGATCCGATCTTTAACATGTACATAAATTTTAAACACGAAAAGATCTTCGTATGATTGTTATTGTCATCCGCTGCATGTTACGAACATCTATACACAATAATACACTTTTATCATTACATGTCTTGTTATTTTATTTGCTTATTATATTAAAAAAAAAAGTATGGTTTCTTTTGTCCTACGGCCATATCAAATTACGTCTGCGCGCGGATGTATATGCAGCCATTTAATTTCTTGTTTCCCTGTGTTTTGCCTAGAATATATACTGAAGATTCAGAAATAAACTATAGTTGTATAATCAGAAATAGTTGTAAGTAAATATAGATTGGTAATTTACAAATTACGGAATAAGTTGTTCTAACCGGATAAGCGCATAGTATAGAAAAAATTTTGCCGCACCTAAGGAATAGTCGTAGCTGTCTACTGCCATGAACCTTCACGAAGAGATCCTAAGAATTAGTAACTCATACGTTTTTCTAAGCTAGCGTTTAGGCCATAAATTTTTAAATTTATTCTGAAAAATCTTATTTGGGTGATGTTTGGTTTGAAAATAAAAATGTGTTTGGACATCTGTTTTGGATGAAGTTTTGTTTGGAAAAATATGAAACATGACTTATACCCACAAGTTCTAAAAACTATCACAAATAACAAATAATACCATTATCAATAATATTCATTATATTATCGCAAACCATATTCCTGAACATAAATAAATTTGATACAAAATTATCATTTTTATAATGAACTACATGATACACTATCAGATGACCGAGAAGACGAAACAATATCGTTACAAAATAATAAATAGTGGGCTCTTTTATAAAATACAAAAATTTGGGGCAATTTTTAAAAACTATAATAGTGATTTTTTGGCCCAAAACCAGCTATTGAGCTGATTTTGGGATTTGAAATTTGGCTAAAATATAGGTAAAATCTATGGCCAAACATGTGTTTGCCAAATAAAATCCAAATTTATTTTGGCAAAATCTATGGCCAAACGGGTCATAAATCCATTCGGAAATTAAAACCTTCTCAAATGGACAAGGCGGGCGGAATATGAGTTCTCTTCTCTTACGGCTTGTTTGGATGGTTGTTACCTATTGTATTATATCGTATTGTTACTTTAAATATAATATTTATTTTGATTGTTACTTAAATTTTATTGTATCATATCGTTAAATCTGTCATTACATAACGACGAAAAGTGTCACTTTGTAAAACGATTGATTTGGTGTGATCGCATCGTTACCTTATTTATTTTTTTCTCATCTTGCCTTCCTTATTATTAAATAATCTTATTTTATCCTTTACTCTACCTTTTTATATAATAATTTTGCCTTGCACTTTACTTTTTATTTGTAATATTCCAAGTTTATTTTTCATATTATTGGTGCATGATATCATGGAATGCGACAAACAATAATAAATATTATATACATCAACAATACGGTATAATTCTATTCATTACAATACAATACATAACAAACCTCCCCCCCCCCCC